TGTGTAAGCACACTCAGTGTGTTACTTGTTAATCCATCACTGGATTAAGTCACACAGATTCACGAGTGTGCAGTTTAGATTTTCGATCCACCTGATGCTGCCTTTTTTTTTCCAGCTAGAGCACAGGGACTGCTGAAGTCATAGGGAGACATAGAAACACACAAACGATGCAGGAAATGAAGCCTAGTCCAACACTGTGAGGCAACATTACCAATCATCCAGACACTGTGCTACCCCAGCAGCGACCGTTTCAATCTTCATAATGGTTGATTATATTCAAAAGAGGTTTAAAGACACACTCCCTGACCACAGCCAAATAAGAACAGAATTTGGCTGGTGACTGGTGTTAATTTCCCACACAGTTTATAGCCCGGGGCATGTTTTTAACAAACCACTGTAAAGATGCCATCTGTTTGAATGAAGTGACCTCCCAGGCATACAATTAAACCCAGCTGGCACAAGACACGACGAGTAGCAGAGAACTCTTTACTTGACATCCACATTAATATTTCACAGTGATTCCAAATAATGGCAATTATTACTGTAGCCATCACACAGCTTTATCTCATTAGCAGTATTGCAGTTTCGCGGCTGTATGGAGTTCTGACTGAACTCTGTCCCGTGTCAGATTGACGGATGTAGCCTGGGTTAGGCCTGTGCTGCTGCTGGAGCTGCTTTACATCAAAGAGCACGTCCAATGCGCTCCAGTCGAAAGCACACACTGATCCACGCTGTGCACTGCAGTCACCCTTTGAGCAGTCAACCTACTACTACTGTTCTGCAGCTGTAAAATATGGTTTTTCTTCTCCTCCACAGGCATTCCTACCCACTCCCCTCCCCCCCGTCCACCCCCTCCCCACCTTTCTCCTGCTGGGGATGTAAATAAGCTGGGGTTGTGCAGACCCTTGAGAAGTCCTCCCACTCCCGCTCTTCCCAACCACTGCTACCCCCTCTGACGTCCCTGCCCACTCACACTCTGCTGCTGCCGCCGCTGCTGTTTATGCAGCTGAAAGGTGCCAGGGAGATGCTCAGATGATCCATTGGGTCGTTGTGAACCACTTCGTCCACACAGCCCTAGACAGGGAAGACTAACTAGTGTGAGTGTGAGAGAGTCCTTGGGGGTGCTGCGAGCACCCTGTGAGGCCCGCCCGCCTGCCAAGCCTGGCAGAAAGCTTGGCTTGTCCCTTTACTCCTCCAACCCCTGAGATGCCCTCCCCTCCCAATGATGGAGGTGAGTAAGAGAGACTCAACTTTTTTGTGTGTGTGTGCATACACCACCTATAAAAGTACACATTAGCAGAAATACACACACAAATAATTTAGGGATCATGATGCACGGAGCTACGCCGAAATAAAACCATTTACATTCTAGCCTCATAAACACACCAGAGTAAATCCCCTGCAGAAATGAGCAAAATATATTAGAAGACTCAGTCTGGAGCACAAGCTGTGACTGTATCTAGCCTTGTTGTATGTTTTCTCCTCCTCCAGAGGATCAAGGAGCGTCCCCCGTGAACAGGCCATCTGTGGGCTCCTACCAGAGCAGCGGGAAGAGGAAGGTGCACACCAAAAAGAAAAAAGGCACCATTACCGCCAACGTCGCTGGCACAAAATATGAAATTGGTATTGTAATTTGCTTTCTTGTATTTATTAGTGAGAAGCATTTGAAATTATTTGACAATAGAAAAAAATGAGTAAAATAAACATACAAACCACT